TGTGACCTCACAGCTGCATTTATTATGAGAGCAATCCAGGTTACCAAGAATGCACTGAATTCAGTGTTGTCCCACTGGAAACACAAAACTCTTTTGATTATAGATTCCAGTGATATTAAAGGGCCTAACTGAGACACTATGAAAGATACAAAGTCATTCCTTGTTCTAAGAAAATCAGTTTCAGCCCTAAGCCTTATTGTTGATAGATGTACCAGCTCTCTCTCTCTCTCTCTCTCTCTCTCTCTCTCTCTCTCTCTCTCTCTGTGTGTGTGTGTGTGTATTCCCAAACATGCTCTTTGTGGGAAGCACTGTTACTGGGCATGCAAAAATAAGGCACACTTGCCTATCTTGAGATGCTCTGGGCTGCATGCCTACTAGAGCAGGGAAAAAGGGGAGTCCTTTTATTTCTTAGCAGCTAAACATTGTACATTTTGAGAATTGTTAGCCATTAACATGCAAATATCCTATCTTGTTTTTATGAGTATACAATCACTGCACAGAATCAAGGTCTTCCCTATGAATTTTTCAAGCACATTTATCATGTTCTTTGATCTTATTTGTCCCATTTACCCTCTATTGTCCTCTTTCTCCTTCATCTTACTGATCCCCATTCAATCCCCAGAATAGTGCCTCATCTGTCTTCAGGGATGCATTTTTTCTCAGATTTTTTTAAAATTTGAATTAGAAACAAGATTGTTTTACATGACAATCCCAGTTCCCTTCTCCCTCCTGTCCTCCCCTACCACCCCCACCCCCAAGTAACACCCTACCTATCACATATCCTTTCTAGGGATGCATTTTTTTAAAAAAAGATTTATTTATTTATTATGCACACAATGTTCTGTCTGCATGTATGCCTACAGGCCAGAAGAGGGCACCAGATATCATTACAGAGGTTTGTGAGTGACCATGTGGTTGTTGGGAATTGAACTCAGGACCTCTGGAAGAGCAGTCAGTGCTCCTAACCTCTGAGCCATCTCTTCAACCCCAGGTATGAAATTTTAAAGCGTGATATCTAGTTGAATCCATTTTCCTGAAAAATGTCAAACACTGTTCTTCACAGTCAAATGGTACTCCATTGTGTTTATATACTGTTTGCTTTAGTGAGGCTGGGTCCACATCCTGTCTATTGGAAAGTGACTCAACACACATGGATGTCCAGAGACTTCTCTTGTATGCTGAATTGGATTTCTTCAGGTACATACCCAAGAATGGTGTAGCTACACACACAAAAAAGAGTACTGTTTTCAGATTTTTTTTTTTTGAAACCTGTGCTCAGCCTGGCATAATGGAGCCCCACTCCTCTGTGACCAGGCAGCAGAGTTGTGCTCAGGGAGGAGGATGTTAGTGATTGCCAAGCAATTAATTTGTATAAAAAAACATTGCTGAAGTGCAATTTATAAAAAGAAACCATCAAGGGAATTTTGAACTATATTCTTTGTGTTCAATTCTGTTTGTGTTTCAAAACACAATACTATTATGTTTCAATACTGAATAACTTTCCCATAACTGTTATTGTGATATTACAATGTAACACAATATATCATTAGCAACTGCATATTATTTTTAGTAATTATATGTAATTTGTTACATGCTAAAATTAGTAATGGACACATCTGTAGAATTAAAAATTTAAGTTGGAAGATGGAAATACCTTTGTGAACCATGCCCTAAAAAGAAAAAAGAAAGAGTTTCCTTTCTAGATTTATCTAGAACTTGTCACTGAAATAGTTTGGAAATGATGCCTCTTAGCACAGGGTCCACACTGTTATTCAAGTACTTTGTTCCCCACCAAAAGGGACCTGGACTCATCGTAGGTGACATGGATGGGGGCAAAACAGAACGATAAGGGGGTGGGAGTTTGCCTCTGTCTGGACACAGGTGAGTCTGTAGGAAAGAAAGGGAAGGCATTTCCAAAGATCAACAGGTTCTGTCACCAGGCTCCATAAAAGGGTAAACAGAGGCAACCGAGCATTAGAGGAAGAAAGAACAGAATTTTAAAGGACAGTCACACATCCATATAATATCAGACAGATCAAAAAGTGATATATTCCTGTGTAGTGAAAAGAAGGAATGCATATTTGATGCCTAATTGCTGTGTTATTGCAGACCCATGGGGAGTAATGAATATAAATACAAATGCTGGGAGTTTTTGTACACCAAAGGATTACCATCATGGTACCAGGTATTGCAGCTTCCAGGCTGGAAAGGTAATCCCATATGTACAAAATTTAGACACATATTTCTTTTTAAATCCTGTCCTTAGTATGTGCTAAAAACAAACAAGATTCCACTGTAAGCAGTGTCTTTTCAAGGTACAATTTCTTGGACTAAGTTCTTTTTTTAAAAAAAAATTCATAGTTTTCTTTTATTTTCTCCTCCTCCTCCTCCTCCTCCTCCTCCTTCTCCTCCTCCTCCTCTGTTTTGAGATTGGGTCTCACTAGCTCTGGCTAACCTAGAACTCAGTCTATAGAACAGGCTGGCCTGGAACTCACAAAGTTCTGCCTTCCTCTGCCTCCCAAGTGCAAGAGCCACCACACCCAGGAAAGCAAAATCTGGATTTTAACTTGACATTTGACACACTTCCTTAAACCTGTGTTTTTGTTTTCTTGATTTTTAAGCATCTATACAAATTGTGACAGTCTTTCCAGTTGTGCATGGAGGTCCCAGGTCACAGCTGCATTGGAAGGATATGTGGCTTTGTCACTAGTAGAAAGCACAGATATATTTTAATTTATTCCACAGTGCTTACAAGCATTTAAAATTTGTTCATAAAATATATACATTATTTTAGTATAAATTATTTTAGTACTCATTAAAATGTCAGTGAATTTTATCTTTTTCTCATGCTGGATATTTTTATTTCATATATTTACAGTTTGAGAAGGGCCCAAAACCTCCAACAAGCTTCTAAATAGGCCAGTGGTACCAAATAAAGTTAAAAAGCAGATACTGTTTTCTTTCTTTCTGTTTTTTTGAGACAGAGTTTTATTATGTAGCCCTGGTTGTCCTGGAACTTTCTATATAGACCAGGCTGATCTTGGAATCATAAAGATCTGCCTGTCTCTGGCTGCCTTAGAGACTCTTTTCTTAAACTTATGAGACACACAGTGGTTTTAAAACAGGACTGAGAATTCCTTCAGGTTCTCCCATTGAGGGCCTGACTAGGTCCCCTCTCTTTGGACCTGGGTATACTTGTTACTTTTCCAATAAGTATGGAAAAAATGAATGTCACGAAGGTTTAGAGGCTAAGTTGCAAAAAAAAAAAAAAAATAGCTAAACTCCCCCTTGATTTCTGGGGCATTTGTTTTGACATCAAGAGTCCAAGAAAGATGGCCACCTTCCCGGGGTGGCCATGATAGAGGGAAGCCCAAGATATACAGTGAAGTGTCTATTAGGGACAGGTTCATAGCTCTAACTTAGACCTTACAGTTGAATTGGCAGACATGTAGGAGATGGTAACAGAAGGTCCCATCATGGAAGCTATGCCATTTCTCATATCTCCATTCTATTCCCAGAAGAGATCTAAGACACCCCAGGACACACAGATGTGCTATGACTTCTTTCACTGTTCAAATTCCTGACACAGTATGAGCAACGTGTATTTTCTGCCACTGCATTGGATTGATTTGCTGTGTGGCAATGAGTGACTAGCATAAGGCTCAGGATGAGCCAAACAAACAATTAGTTTTGTGGCATGGATTTTTCTTAATGGACAACACCAGCAGAAACAAAATGGGCCACAAATCACCAGTGTGCAGACATGTAATTCTGTCAAGCATTTAAACCTCAGTGCAACTGACTGTAGAACTCAACACTGACTAGATGGTTCTGGGCTGTGTAGACTACCCTGACATGGCCCATTCTGGCTGTCTCAAGGTTACATTGCTACCTTTGCCCAAGACTGTTTCTCACATAGTGTAGGAACAACAAATATGTACTTGAGATTGGAGCATAGGATAGACCTAGGGAAGTACTGGGGATATACTAAGTAAGTCTAAGGAAGCCCAGAGAAATGGCCTCTGACCGACACACCTATCTGCAGCCTGGAAGTTTCTTAGAAGCCTTATTTTCTTAGGTACCCAGTGCTTGGATCTGGTTTTTATGTGTATCATTGTGAGTCCAACCTGCAGTACCAACTGAACAAGCACAGATCAGGCCCACTAGCCTGGCTACACAACCTGGAAGATATGAGGCCCGTCTACCTCTCATAGACACCAGGTAACTCCCCAGACTTCAGATGTTTTACCAACACTAGTATTACAAAGCAGGGAAAGTGATGTGGTTTTTACAAAGCCTTTCTTTTCTTTTTAAAACCAGTAGCTGATTTTCTCCAAGGGTATTTTAAAGCTGGTGATTAGAGGTAAAAAAAACTTTTTTCTTTTTGATGATTTACCAAAAACCTTGCCAATGCTTAGTTTAGGATCAATGTAGGACAACAGTTTTGTTTCCTCTTACTTTATATTTACTGTTAAATTGCCATTTAGACAATAACTGTTTGTCTAAAGACAGGTTTCACCTTGAAGAAAAGCAATTTGACTCATAGCAGTCACTGAGGGTCTCAATGCCCTTTAGGATGAATACAGCATAGAGAAGCAGGTGGGGCTGTCAAGGGTGTGTGTGTGTGTGTGTGTGTGTGTGTGTGTGTGTGTGTGTGTGTGTTGCTGGGTGTGGAGCAAGGCTTCCTGAACACTAACCAAGCACTCTGAGCCACATTCTCTCTGGGAATGCCTGTAAGTTAACTATACTCCCAATCCTATTACACAAAATCCCATCGGTCAGAAAACACCAGGGTCTGGTACAGTCTATTAGACTCAAAAACAGCACAAACTGTGGAGAGGAGAATGAAACAACTTCACAAATACACACAGGATGGCTTCCAGCTGGGGAGGTCAGCAAGGCAACCCAAGTCCCCAGAGGCATTGCCCAGGACAATAACAGACACTGGAGCGTAAAATCTGGCAGGGCTGGCCGCTGAACAGTCAGAAACCCCATCGTACCTGTGAGGTAGGTGTTGTGTGAGGAATTGATGAAATAGTGAGACAGGGGCTGAGACATGTCTTCGTTCAAATCCAGTTTCTCAGGTGAAACGACTCCATTTTCTTCTCCACTCAGGTAGCGCATGAATCCATCCACTGACATCTGCCCTGGAGAAAATGGATTGACAGGCGTGTGAGTGTTCAGCATCCTGATACTGGCAGGGTCAGCCAGCTCTGATCCACCCAAACAAGCCAAACCTGCTCTGCAGCATCCGAGAAGACAGTGGACATGGTTTTGTCTCAATACAGACACACACTTGTCTAGGCTGTACTTTACCATTATCTCCATATAAATAAAGGAAAGATGTGGTTATTCTGATGCCTCCTCGACTTTTCAGAGGATTTAAAACACAAACTTCCTGCTTTTAAATATAATAGTGAACATCAAATTCATGAATTAAAAAAGAAAGGTTGTCATGTAGTGATGGTGCAAGCCTTTAATCCAAGCATTCAGGAGGCAGAGGCAGACAGATCTCTGAGTTTGAGGTCAGCCTGGTCTACAGAGTGAGTGCCAGGACAGTCAGGGCTACACATAGAAACCCTGTCTTAAAACAAGATAAAACAACAACAAAAAAGGCTAACTCTGGGTAAATCACCTTGAGAAGATTTTCCAAATTTTCCTACCAGGAATATCTATTGTCTTAATTTTATAATTAAAAAAAAATCATGAACAACTAGTTTTACTTTGAGTGTTCAAATCTTTTTTTTTTTCTCCTACACAATACAAAGATAACAACAATGAATTGTGCTTTGCATAGCAAACTGAGAGTACACACAGGAGGAGCTGTGAATTTTATTTACAAGTTTATTTCAGAGAGAAAAATACGACTTTCTCTTTATGACTCAACTCACACATTTTTCTTATAACTTTTTGAGGTAGACCTAGCTAAATATTGAGGCTGCCCTTTTAGCATTACTGAGGTATACTTGGCGGACAAAAGTTATGTATATTTAGAGAGTGCGATTGGAAACTGCCTTACAAGACCTGAGACAAGCCTTCATTTCCCCGCTCAGCAGCCTCATAGGCCCTCAGAGAGTGGTCATCACAGATTTTTCGGCAACTTTAACATAGTTTCAAAACAACACTAAAGAAACAGGAAATGAAGGTTGTGTCAGTAAAGGTTGGGGGTAACATATCTTATTTTCTTGTTGGAACAGTTTTGTGTTAATTTAAAAGTGCTAATCTTCATTGAAGAAATTTAGACACTGAGATAAGCAGAGAGAAAATAATCTTTTCTAAACATATATAAGGATTTCTTCAGAAAATCATACTTTGGGAGCTTTGCTGTGTATCATCAAAACAATGTGCATGTATTTTAATAGTACACAAATACATATATATGAATATATGCACACATATATAATACAGTAATTTCTTCTGAATTAAAGAATAATTATTATAAATATTTTTATCACAAAGTAAATTCTCTAAGATCAGTGTTTAACTTGAACTCATGAAATATATAGCTACTTATATTTTATATATTATAGAACATAAACATATAAGACTAAGCAACAGTCTATTATTATTGGTTATTAAATTTGTTTAAAATATTTTGCAAGATAAATGACACTGCATTAAATGCTATTCCAGTTAAATCTTTGTACATGTATTTCATTCCTTCTGCAGGCTTCATTGGCAGGAACAAAGCTGTTGGTTTTTAGGTGTACCATTTATAAATGGCAGAATTAACCATGTCATTTTACCATACTAGTTTTCCACATCTAATATGTTTTTCAAGATGACTAATACCAAAGTTCTGGGAATATTACAGATCAATCAATGTTAATATTATTCAGGAATGAATTAACGAATAAATAAATAAATAAATAGATGCTTGACTATTGGCTCTCTAGAAGAGAGTGGCTATCATATGAAAGAAACTTTCTCTTTACATTTTTACTTATCATCATCATTACTGTCTGTGTGTATCCACAATGTGAGCGGGTGCATGTCCCACGGTTCATGTGGGTATGAATGCACAATTCTGTGGAGGTTTTTTTTTTGTCACCTTTACCTGAGTTCCAGGGGTTGGACACAGGCCACCAGGCTTTCTCAACAAGCACTGGAAAACCATTTCGACAGAGCAGAAACATCTTTCTGGACAAATGTTTGACTAGAAATAAATCTTTGCATCAGAAACTGGTAAAATGTACTCCAATATGGGTCTTGATAGTTTCCATCATGATAAAAGGGAGAAGGACCAAGAAAGGCTCTTAATTTGAAAGGAAAAATATCATAAAAAGGCTTTAGTTGGCATGTTTGTGACCTACAGCAGCGCCCATCCTGCAGGCTATATTTGTGTGTGACCATACTTTAAGAGATGCCATCATCTACACATCCAAATAGCCATCACTTAATACAGTGAGCATCCAGGTCACGTGGCTGTCACGAAGACCATCTGTCATTGGAGCCTGCTGTTAAACATGCCTTGCTGTAATGTACACATCCCTTTGGACGGATCATGAATCTCATAAATAAGCTAGGCAGCTTAGTGCCAAAGCTATTTCTACAGATGGTTTACAAAATATTTTTAGAGTATAAAACTCTTGAGGCAAAGTTTCTTAAAATATTCAACTTTTTCTAATCTTCCAGTTTTCTGTTATCTAGCTTGTTAAATATTACTCCATTTAGTATCCATCATTCCCTCCCTCTTTTTCTTTCTCTCTTCTCTCTTCACCTTCTATTGATTTAACAATTTATTTAACACCTGCCATGTGCTAAACACAGAAAAACAGCAGAGGAAATGCAGACCCAGACCCTGCCTTCAAAGAGCTCACAATCTGGTAGAAAGAATTACTCTCCACCCCTTGAGGGGCAGGCACTGATATAACAATGTGCATGATCCCAGCTCTGCCACCCTTGGGGTCTCCCACGATGCTCCCGCACCTAGCCAAATTGATTCTTAGGCATGAGTATAGTCACTCAAATTAGAAACTAAATTGTTATCAAAGTGGAAGATCACTCAGGGCAGTAGTACTTTTCCATCCCATGCAAATGGCAGCTTCATACAACTCTGTCTGTCACTGGGGCAATACCATAGGGGCCAGAAACTAAACTCCATGCCAGGAAAGAATGGCAATAGAACTTCTGGATGTGAGTGAATGGCAGTCAGGAGGCACTCACTTTAGTTTCCAAGTGAATGGGAGCTTGGTTTACATTCCTTTTAATGGAATACAAAGTGTACTGATAGAGCATGGTGTGACTTAGCATCCCATTTCTATGAGGCTGAGCTTGACTCTGAGGCTGTCCGTTTGTATTTGTTATATTCTGGTAATAAATAACTTCTGGCTTTACAAGATAAATAAATGAAGTATATGTTGATAGAGAGGAGGTGGCAAACAAGTTTTCCTTTATAAAAGGCTTGTTTCCTCTTTAATTGTGTATGTATGGGTATGTACATATAAAGCAGTGACCACAGAAGATAGAGGTATCAGATCCCCCTAGAGCTGGAATTACAGGTGACTGTGAGTCACCCAGTATGGGGCTCAGAACCGAACTCAGTCCTCCACCTGTGCAGTACATGCTCATCACCTTTGAGCCATCTCTCCAGCCCAGGTGTAAGTAAGGTCAGCATCAATACCTATACATTGCTAATACCTTCGGGAACCTGTGTTGAGACTGTGGACTTTGCGATCACTTTTGCCGTTTGTATTGAATACAAAATGGAGGCTACAAAATCTACAAATGGCATCTTCCAATGAAGCCAATATAATTCAGCTCAACAGGTTATTTACAAAATAGAGTGTCAAAATTTTATCCATTCATTAATAAGAAAGCCAGGACGATGACAAAAAGCAGTTTAAAGAGGTTATGAACCACTAACTCTATCTGTCTATCTATCATCTATCTTTTAAAATTTTTAATTAAAAAGTTAAAATTTAAAATAGACAAATATGTCCCTTTACTTTTTTTTAAACAAGTTTTCATGCTGAGAACTGAATATAGGACCTCATATATGCTAAGTGAGTATTTGGGCTATATGCCTAGTGTCTTTGTCAACAAACCAAAGACCAAAGTTAAAAAGACATGGACAAAACTGCTAAATTAAATATAAACCTAGTTAAGGATCTGCATATTTTAGATCATCTCTTCTACTATTTACGTTTCATAAAAATCAAATATTTTAATTTGGGTTTTCCTCTTTGGGTGCTGAATATTGAATCAAGGACTGAACACATCCTAAACAGGCACCAAAACACTGAGCGATGACTCCAGACCCTTAACGTAATATTTAGCAGAGACCACAGGCAGAAAACAATTTAGGCGTTTAGATGAGCTAGTGCTTTTGCAGGTTACTTATATTAAACAAAAAATCCCCAGGGAAGGAAGCTGTGAAACTTTATTTTAATATTTTATTCTTTATTATTAGTGAATATGCATGCGTATGAATGAAGGTCTGGGCATAAGTGTGTCACAGGATTTGGTTCTCTTCTCCCATTGAAGGCTCTAAGAATCAAATTGAACAAGACAGGCTTGCAGTGGGGGAGGGATTCTACCTGCCGAGCCATCTTGCTGGATGACATTAATCTCAAAATTTGAATAAGAACAATGTGTAGTTTTGCAGAGTGGTCAGACAAAATATGCTGAAGAATGTAGGTGATCAGACACTTTCCCCTCCAGCACTCCATCTGCTAATCACAGGAACAACTACTCAAGATTTTTGATGTGCCAAATGAATGGGTAGAGGTATGACAAAGTCAAGAGATGGCCCTGTGAAAACTGGGATGAGTCAGTGCATGCTGTAGAAGGTGAGTCATTGAAAGGGGCAGGAGTTCAATTGCAAAATATATTTCGCAGTTTGCACACTGTGTGAAGTGTGCCTTCAACTGGTCTATGTATGTGTGGGGGCAGAGAAAGGACTCAAATTTTCATTGCTTCCAGGTAACCTACTGTGGAAGAATGCTGCTCTCATTGATCTAAAAGCATCAGGATAAATGGGAAAAAAAAAAGTCTTTCACTGTGAAAAACTTCCATTTATTTTCGTAGTCCGTAGAGGAACATAGAAGATGGAAAACCTTGAGAATTGACATAGGATAGAGCTAGACACTGTCATGCAATATCTTACATGTATGAGGCCATGAGGCTATGAGTTCAGTACCCAGCACAGTAAAAACAAAGCAAAACAAAACTGTCCCTTTATAATATTTACTAACGGTTATATGGTTTATTGGAATGGTAACTGTTACTATCATTCATAAATAAAAAACAAAGTCTTCATTGCAAAAAACAAACAAATAAACAAACAAAAGCAAAGAAGAGCCTGTGAGATGACTTAGTGGGTAAAGGTTTGCTACATGCCTAAGCTGAGTTTGATCCCCAGGGTACATACACATGGTAGGAGAGTTGTCCTAACTTCTACACATCTCTACATACATACACACACACATGCATGCAAATAAATGTAAGAAAACAATAAAAAACAAAGCAAAACCCAAACCAACCAACCAAATGAAAACATTGTCTTTCTAAACAAGTTGGTAACCAGACAAGACTTCCAGCTTTCACATTCTTGCCAGCAGTAAGGGTAAGCCCACCACAGACCTCCTTCACACTTTTCTTCAAGTTTTCAAGTTCTGTGAATTCAAGGTGGTCAATATATTGGGATTATTGCTAGCCGAATAAAAAACAAAACAAAAACAGTCCCACATCAGAAGGATTACAAAACACCAGGCCACAATGGGGAGCAATGGTAATGCAGTTTTCTGGAAAAAAAGTCAAATGAAGTTTAAAGGGTAAGGCTCTAGATGACAAGGGCTAAAAATAAATTCCCTGACACTTTTTTTTTTCTGAAGAGAGACTGGTTTGTTTTCCATTGTCCATGTTGGTCACATAATATACTTTAAGGTCTTTATGAGAACACATACTATTACACAATTTGGAGCCGATGTAGGAAAATGTACCTCCCTTAGGGTCTTGTGAAGTGCTTCAGAAGAAAATCCAGGCCACTGTTCTATCCAGATCCAGCTAAGATGGAGAAAAACTGGCCAATTTTAACTACCAGGATACTGTACTTGGAAGGAAGACACAAAGAGGGACTGAGTGTAGATAGTGAATAGAATCTCCAAGGAGCATCAAGAAGTCACCTGTGTAATTTGCTCTTGATGCATACACAGAGTTGCTAGAGGGTACAGGGCAAATACCAGCATGGTCTAGAAGCCAAGAGTGGATTTCTAAATTCATAGCATTTCTAAAGCTACTTTCTATAATGACTTGTGTCTTAGGGCAATGAGTAGAAACAAGCTCCCCAGTTTCTCCTTGATTAGAAGCAAAGATGTTCCAATCTTTCAGTGATGCTTCCATATCTATTTATTTCTGGTTCTCAAAATAATGTTCATGTTAAGTGTTTTTTTTTTTTCTTCCCATCATGGAAGAAGAGGGTAGCATTCCTTCTTTTACCTACTCCCCCATATGAAGTCACTATCATCAAAGCTAATATCATGGCTATACATTCTATTAAGATCCAAGTCATGAAGTGATCCAACAGTTATCTTGCATAACTTTTAACTTCCCTTGAGTTTTATAAATGTCTTATTATTATTCATTTGCTAATATCTTTTTTAAAACAAGATTTATTTGCTTATTATATATACAGTGTTCTGCCTGTGTATATGTCTGCAGGCCAGAAGAGAGGATCAGTTCTTATTCTAGATAGATGTGAGTCACCATATGGTTTCTGGGAGTTGAACTCAGGACGTCTGGAAGAGCAGTCAGTGCTCTTAATCTCTGAGCCATCTCCAGCCCAACTGTTAATTTCTTTGCACATATATCTAGGACAACTTTAACTTTCCATCAGCTATCTAAACCTCATTGTAATGTGTTCAAAATGCAAGTGCTTTCTCAGTTACATTGACCTGAAGTCTTTCTTGGAGTCCTCTGACCAAATTGACGAATTCCAACTCCTTTTAATTTTATTCTATTCTTAATATCTCTTATTTTCACATATTATGCCTTGCTCTTTCATAAATATATATTTCATTTTAGTTGTAGCACATTTGTCAGTAGTTCCTTGAAAGACTTCGGAGTATTGAATTTCCTGAACTTTGCATGTTTGAAATGGTTCACATTCACTTCTACATATAGTTCCTAGTTTAGCAGGGTATAGCATTCTTGGTAGATTTTTTTTCTTTTTCTTTTGTAAAGTTGTTTGACTGTCTTTTGATTTCCAGCATGGATGTTGGAAATATTGAAGTCTTTCTAATTCACCATTTTTAAAGCTGTTATGTGGCCTATTTTGCTTTTGTCTCTCTAGAAATATTCAGCATCTTTGTCCCAAATTTATTAAAATTTCTCAATGATTTGTTTTTGTACAGTTTTGTCTTTACTCTCTGTTTTGGTATGAAAATTTGGGATAAATTTAATAAATGCATTTTATGATGCTTTTTTCTTTCTAGAATATTATTTTCTCACATTTAAAACAATTATCATACAATTATCACATTTAACTTAGCTGTTTCTTCAATTATATTCCCATATATTCTTTCAGTGTTTTGTTTCTTCTATGCTCTTCTTAATATCCAAGAGCCAATTTCTGATATCTGACATTTTTTGAAAACAACATCTGTTCTTATTTCAAAGATGAATATATTTGTTACTTTCCTAAGGATAAAATATCTACACATGTAATTAATTCTTTCTGTATTGTTATTTTTCTGCTGTTATTTTCTCCCTCCAAAAGAAAGTTCTCATCCTACATCTAGTAACTACTGTTTATTTATATTTTCTAATTGGCAGAATGAAACATTCACTGGATTAGTTTAATGAACTTTGATAAGTGGCTTTGAGAACTCTGAGACAGATGAGGCATCACTGTAGAAAGATTTGACTTTGTATCTCCTCTTCAGGTCTCCTCATCTAATCTCCTGCACAAAGAATAAAAGTTTAGTGCTAGTATTCTAAGCCAATGTGGGGAAAGCATGAATGGATCTCTTTGTGTTGCAGTTTGTGATCTTATTTTCAAAGTGGTTACTTTGCTTGTACATATCTTGTGTCATGTTCACTTAAGTCTGGTCCTTTCTCAGATAGGAATTCTGACTATATTTCAATAGCCGCCAAACCCCATTCTATTCGCTACTCCTCCTTCTTCAAGAAAGTAGCATCTTCAATTCCTGAGATTTTTAAGATTTCTATGGAACAACTCAAGATGGTTCCCAGCATACCACTTGTTTGATCTATGATCAGTTCCTCAGATATATTACAGCTGTAAACATATAGCCAACTTTCTCAGATAACTGTTTATCTTCTTAGTTCAAACGCTTTCTGGATTACATCTATAAAATTAACTCTTAATGCAGTTTTAGTGTAAACTCAAGGTAGCTTAATTAGATAAATATGTTCATTTCATTATGTTTATCTTGAAGTTCTACAATACATTCTAGTATTTTATTTTTACTTATTTATTTTGCAGTTTGAAAGGCTCTATATTTTTATTACTGGACAAACCATTCCCAGCTTAAACATGACCAAGTCTCCAGGTTAAAAATGTTGAACTCCATCTGGCAGCATACATTGCTTTGACCATTGACCATGATTCAGTATAAACTCTCAAGTCTTGCTATTGATTGTGTGAATCCTTACAGGCCCAGCTTGGTTCTCCTCCAGTGTCTTCTCTTGGAGTTGTACCTGATTTTGTTACCGGTTTTCATCCCAATCCACTGAGGAATAGGACAATTTTGCTTTTGTTTCTTGGCCAGCAATTGTCTGATTCTGAAAGTCTTGTGAGAAGACATGGTGAGAAGCCAATTCAGACGTATGATGCATGATGGCAGAGGAAAGGCATAGAGAACATTCTAGTATTTTAGATAAAATTTATTATATTATATAAAATACATTTTTGATAATTATAGATGAAATTGATTCATACAGCAAGGTTTTTTTTTTTTTTTTTTTTTTTATGCCTTATGCCTTCTATTTTGCCAGGTACTTTGCCTTTGGTTTTTCTTTTTCTTTTTGTGGTGGAACATATGCAGTGACTAACCTCTCACCATAGATGGCACTATATGGACAATTTGTCTATCAGCTTTTTCTTGTTGCATTTCTTTCTCTCTACAGCATGCAGTCAGAGCAGCAGATACTCTCTAAACTCGCAATTGGGAAAGTGCTTGGACCTCGTGACTTCTCTTGCCAATCTCACAGGGATGTCTGTGCACAACAGGTATGGTTGGATGTGAAAGGTTTTTAACAAAATGATAGCTGAATCAAGCTGGTCCTTGATGTCCATCTTCTTCTATGACGGCATCTGATTGAGATGTCAATCGGAAGTCGTGTGTACATTTATAAATGAGTCTCCTAAATCTGTCATGTCAGGTCACAATTTGAGTTAAAAACAGTGCTGAAGAATTTATCCAATGATCTCAAAAAAGAAAAAAATCCTAAGGAAATTTCAGGGACAAATTGCAAGACATCAAAACAGACCAGAAAAGGGATCCAGGATACTTGAGACTATGGGAAACCAGTCCTTAAGTGGTAATAGAATTTAGTGTACCCCATTACATTGTTCATGGTAAGCGACGGATCCATCAAAGCATATTCTTTTTAATGACCTTTGCTCTGGCAGAATTTCCTATTAAAGCTAGAAGTAAAAAGCATATCTGAAATAAATCCATAGACTTCAATCTTCTACTTAGAAGCTTATGAATATGGCTTTCAGTAAGACCACATAATGCAAGTGAATGTTTCTCATTTATAATGAAATTTCTGAGCACAGCAGGGAGTCCAATACTGTACCCCCATTATACTTTGCATGAGTGAGATGACCCTGTGATGGAGAAAATATATACTGCATGACTAAAAGCTAATCTCTGAGTAGAATCCATGGTGTATTAGTCAAGTACTCAGAGAGTCCTTTGGTCATCTCTTTCACACTCAATGTGCATTTTTTAATTGGCGTGCTCTGATGATTAATTTTAGTTTTTAAGACACAGTCTCTCTATGTAGCCCAGGCTGTCTTGGAACTTGCTGTGTAGATGCGGCTGGCCTTGAACTCACAAAGATCTGCCTGCTTCTGCCTAAGTACTAGGGTTAAAGCATGCCTCGCCATACCTGGCTTCTTTAATTTTAATTTTTAATTTTCATTATCAACTACCTGGGGCTCAGAATCACCTAGAACAGTGTCCCCAGTGTGACTAGTTGCTTCATGTTCCCGTCACCACAGATCAGGCCGTTAGGGCCACCACCATGATAAAGTAGACAATTAAACTGCATGCTAAAACAAACCCTACCTTATGTTGCCCTTGTCAGGCCTTTTATCACAAAAATGAGAAAAATTACCAAAACAGAAAATAAGTACCAGGACTGGAGTGATTGTTGTGATCAATCTGACCATGTGATTTGTAGGAGGAACATAGAATTTGGACTGTAGAGTGGAGAATGTTGTTAACAGAGCATAACACACTGGTGGGAGTGTGGAAGACCAGAGTGCTGAGAGTGGTGAAGTAAAGACTGCACTCGTGAGTTTTCTAAGTTGAATTAGGACTATAGCCGAGAGTGGGCTAGAGGACACATTTACTTTGTCCTTGTGAAAAGTCCATATAGTTACAGGCTCCCCATGCCCTGAAAACTTAAGTAAAGTCAGATTCAATGGCCATGAACTAAACCTTTTTCAGAAAGGAAAATTTAAGACAATATAATATCCAAGGTGTGCATGATAAATGCCACTCTTCTTAGCTCAGAGGGAGAGGGACAGGGAGAGGGAACAGAAAGATATGAAAAACGAGCAATTCAGCTCGGACAGGATTAACAGCAAGCCAAAAGTTTGACAAGGTAGGTGGGGAGAAGGTAACTATAATTCTTAAAGAGGTCATCACCTTGAAAGAGAACCCTGGAGTTCCATCCTGACCTCTAAGCATGGTGCTCTGAGATCAAGACTACCCACCAAAGACACCTGAAGGGGAAGAGATAGAAACAGGAACATGACATTTCATGTTCTCTACTCAAAATCAACCATTTATAGACCCCCTCCCATCCCCGTGTCCCCATATTTGGCTGCCAAAATGTACAGAGAGCATGATAGCTGCAGCAGAGCCACACAGTACTTCAAACTGGCAATGGGCCTCTGCTCAGTGGTCCACATGGTGCTGACATTGCAGGCATGTGAGAGATACAAGAAGGAAGGGGTCATGGAGACTTGACCACGATTCCTGAATGCCAGTGAGGTCAAGCAATAATGCGGCAGGATTGGATTTCCTGAAAGAAGGCCCTGGGATGCCATTATATGAACCTGTGAAGGTGAGACCTATGGGGCAATAGAGATCCCAGGATGTTGGGACGATAGAACTGTTGATGTCTGCCTAAGGAAAATTGCAGATGCACAGTAGATACAATCCAAGTGATAATAGGTGAGCTGTAGGCAGTAGAACTGGAGAGGCACATCCAGGTAAGGCTGTTGGAGCCCATATAATGCCAGCAAAATCCCAGATATAGAATATGAAGCTGAAGGATTTGCAGGATTTGGTGATTTCTCTACTGGGTTTCAGTCATCCTTTGGTCTCTTCTTTCCTTTAGGATGAGAATTTTTATCTGTACCATTGCATATTGAAAGTATGTAAGTAAACATTTTTATAAGAGTTTATAATTAAGAGGTTGTCTTGAGTCTTAGGAGAGGCTTTGTATTCTCTCTCTCTCTCTCTCTCTCTCTCTCTCTCTCTCTCTTCCTGTGTGTGTGTGTGTGTGTGTTTGTGTGTTTGTGTGTTTGTGCTTTTTTGAGACAAGGTCTCTCTCTGTAGCTGTCCTGGAACTCACTATGTGGACCAGGCTAGCCTCAACTCAGAGATCCACTTGCTTCTGCCTCCCAAATGCCGGAATTAAAGGTATGAACCAGCATACCTGGCTGACTTTGGACTTTTAAACAGTGTTGAAACTGTTAAAGACCATGGGAACTTTTGAAATTGAGCTGAATTCATTTTGCTTTATCAGATGGACATGAGTCCTGGAGGACGTGGAGTGGAGTATTAGGATTTAAAGGGGATGTGACTGGGTGTCAAGTTGAAAAGGGAAGAAGTTGTGATGATTAACCATCATTTTCAACTTTACTGGTTTTAAAAATCACTTAGGAAACTCAGATCTGGCTGTGTGAGAGTATTTACATGGAAGTTTAACTAAGGAAGTCTGAACATGGGTGGCATCATTCCATGGTATAAAATTCTGTAGTGAACAAAGGGAAGAGGAGAAAGGCAGCCAAGCCCAGCATTCATCTTTTTCATTTGTGACTTTGGGTGCACTGTGGGCAACTGCCTCATGCTCCTGCCACCCCAGCCGGAATCACCAAAGCTGTCCTCATTGCCATGCCTTTCTCACCATGATGGAGAGTTGGAGAGTATCCTGAAGCTGTAAGCTAAAAAACAAACCTTCCTTCTAATTCACTTCCGCAATGGGAGAAGTAACTAATACAGATGCTTATCCAGGAACTCCCCACTTCATGGCATTAATAACTGATGTGGAATTGCTCGTGAACGAGGAGTTTCCAGCAAAGAAAATATGGCTGGCCATGTTTATTATATGCACAGATTTTCTTTTTAGATAATGGATTGTGACTTAAAAGAAAATCTAATATGTAGGCACAGGCAGGGTCGTGAATGAGGAAAAATAGCCTTTGAATAGGTTCATCAGTTGGATCTATTTCCTTCACAAATGATCTGTCTGCCTAACAAATCATTCATGTTCCTTACCATACACAGCATGAACTCAGCCCATCCTCCCTGCCACTGTGTGAGGGCTAAAACTTATATGCCTGTTTTATGGATATGAAATGTGAAGGCAAGGGTTGCTCAAGACAACATAGAACACAGAGGATTTGTGCCTTAGGTAGACAGGCTGTAACACTGTGGATGGCAGTGCTCACAGTCTAGTAACAGAAAGTAAACCATAATAATAGTGGTAATGAGCTACCTACTACTCTGAGAATAGACCACATGCCAGGCACAGGCATTCTTTGAGAGAGTGACTCATTTTCAGCTCAGTAAACTGAGGCGGAGCCGGAAACAACTTGTCTGGCGAGCGTGGAAGCTGAACTGGTAGCTCATGCTGGGGTGATGAAAAGACAGATGGAGCTGATGGGACTAATCATATCCATCCACCCATCTCTCCTAACACTGTCCCAAGTAAGGGCCATGGAGCGTGGAGAAGGGGACATTTTGCCGCATAGACAGTTGGCTTCAAACTGGCTACACTGCATCAGTCCTAAAAATAGCCCTGAATGTGACCAGGAAAAGAGTCTTTCCAATGATTTACTTATCTCTCTAAAATGTGTTACTTTAATCTTTTTGTTAGAAGAAGTCCGGGCTTTGGCAGATAAATGACCCATCTGGCAGAGGTGTGAGGATTAGGCTCCTTGATTTGAATTTGTCTATCAAGGACCAAAATTCTTTTCCAGATTTAAATTGTGTTCTAATCTCTGCATGCAATTTAGAGGTGTCCTCCAGCATTTTCTTTCTCCAACCCGTGAATCTTACATTTAGGTGAAGAAAAATAAAATACAATAAAAAATGTGTTATGCCAACATAGGACAATCGAAATGCTAAGCAGTCGGTGACATTGTTTGTGGGATTTGCAGGAACCATTCAGATTAGCTTGAAAAGGGTAAGAAAAGCCAAATGCATGCAAATATCTTCAAGGCTGCTCGGCACCGGGACATTTTGCCTTGGAAGACAGATGGTCCACATGTATCATTGCACAGTTGAGATGGGCAAACTGGACAATGTGTCTGCCAGTTAGCATGGGCACCAACTGCATTCTGCTGTGCCAAATG